ACTTTTCTCAATACAGTGCATTTTTTATACTTGAGTTTGGATTTTATCTTAAAATCTTCCTTCTTTCTTGGTTAATTATTTTTCATTGTTTGTTAATGACCTTGCGATCGAACATTTTAATTTTTAACTGTTCCGCATCACTACTATCATTTACCTCTTTAAAAGCTCTCATAAGAAAGAATTAAGCGAAGATGGTCTATCAAATACAGGATGCAGAGTGATATATTAGATGTGCTTAGAAAGAATGTCAGTATAGTACTACTGAGATTGCGAGAGAGAAAGAAAAAACACAAGATGGAGAAAAATGGCATCCTCTATTTTAACAATACATGTAAATGTTTAGTCAGTTCCCTGAGTTACATGGGTAGCACTCTGAAAAGCTCCTAAAACAATTGACCCCAGGGAGCACTAATGTAGTTCATTCTTATTTTGGTATTCATTCTATCCCTTCTTTTTCTTGTACACATAAAGACACACCCATATATTGCAAACAAAAAGAACAAAATTGAATATTTAATAGTGAGCTTCTATAATTTTTTCAAGATGCTAAGACTGCATATAAATATGCTCTTCATTGGAAGAATATACCATAGGACCTTTTTCAAATTCTCTTTCATTCTGTTTTAGCCATGGACCACCTATGTCTGTAATGATAGAAAGTAAAGTTCCTTTACAAATGGCAAACGATATTTAATTGCTTCTTTGGAATGCTGCATCTTCAGTGTATAAGGAGGGAAGAAAAGGAAAGAGTTCTCCATAATAATGGTCAACATTATTTAATTTCAAATTAATTATTTAAAGTAACATTTACAGCACTTAATATTTTATACTTTTCATGATTCACTGTAGATACTACAAAATGATGTGAACAATTAGATTATCAGTGATCAGTGTAACAGCACAAGGTACCCTGCACTCTACCTTAGACCTACCAAGTATAGCTTTAAAAATATTAAAATTATTGTTCCGTATTAAATATAGACTGTTTATTTTCTGACTTCCCTCCACTAAAATGTAGTACCAAGAGAAAAGAGGTCTTTCTTTTGTATACTGAAGAATTTCAAACAATAAGGCTAATGTCTCACACATAATAAATACACATTTTTTATCAAATATTCCCCAAAAGGTAATTATATGAACCTAAAACGTATTTGATATTCAATTATTATAAGCTTTATTTAGAATGCATTGAGTTTTAAAATATTACTATGAGTTCTCTGTCTCTAATAAGAATATGAGCTTGAATATGAGTAATTAACTCCTCCCTATTTTAAGTCATTTGTGGTTTTGTCACTTTTTAGCTGTTGACCATAGTAAGCAAATTTCCCATTTTAGAAATGGGTACTGTAAGAACACTTATTTCATTTGGCTGAGTTGTAATGGTTGAATAAAATATAAATCATATAAAGTAGTTCAAATAGTGCTCTGACATAGTAAGTACTCAATAAATGTTATTAATATTACTACATCATCAGGGTTTAATAAGTTACTATTTAAACCAAAAAATAAAAAAACCCTTTACCTTGATCTCATGTTCATTAAAAATCAATGAGCTCCATTACATGTAACATTAGGTTATAAGCATGGTCTCAGAGTATAGTAAGCCAGTAACAATTTAATTACATGTAAGTATACAGTTTTGCCTACTGCTGGATCTCTTAGCTATCTTTTATTATTGGCTAAGTGGCTTCAATAAAAGTACTTTTGGATAACTTTCAAGATGCCAAATTATGCATACTATCTTATTGCTTATAAATGTTGGAAGTTGGGATAGAGTGATGCTTAGAGTGGAATAGATAGAGTTGGGATAGATAGATGCTTTACAGTATGTATATACAATGGGCAATCAAAAATATTTTTACTCTAAAATCAAATGCTTCAGAATAAAAAAGGCTTACATAGTACAGCAGTCTCCATTTTCAAAGTGGCCACTTAATCTCTAACTGGTATGGGAAGTCCCAAATTGTCTGGCTAAGAAAGCAACTTTCTCAGGTAAACACTTTGTCAATCCTTCTTTATTCCCTCTTCAGGGCCATTTTTTTTACTGTCTATAAGTTGAAATTTCTCTAACATATACACTACATGCATTGTGAGGTCAATATAATTTCTTCAGTGAACCAGTAGTATATCTTTAGATAAAATTTGCTCTGCCACAGAAGCCTCAAACCTTTAATTTGCAATGAAAAATATAGTATCCTAATGTTTAAAACAATCTTAGACCTAACACATAATGGCAAATAGGAAACACAATTTTAGAATACCCCTTAAACCATAGTATATTCCAAAAAAATATCTTTCTATGATCTTTAAGAAAAGTATCATACATATTCTAATAACTTTTCTATTTCTTTTTGAGAATCAAAGTTTATTATAGCATCATCCTGCTTTACTGGACAAACCTATCATTGACTTCTTGTTTTCATTTCTGCATGTAAGGAGTTTGGAAATCACCATATATTCTTACTGCAAGTCAGAAGTTGAACAGATTGAAAATAACTCTTTATGGATCTACGTAGAAAAACTTGTCCCCCTAAGAGTGGAGCATCACCATTCACCAGGAGAGGATGCATGAGCAGAAACACTGCAGGAGCCACTCCAGGGCAAGAAAACTTGAGCTGCAACTGACAATTGCTAGAGGCTTAGTGCAGAATAACCTGAGAGTTATAAACTCTAGTGGTACCCAGTCAGGGGAGGGGCCCCCACATTTCTGTGAGTTTTATCTCAAAGAGACTATCTAGGTTCATACAATAAATATTTTAAAAATCCACATATACTTCCTCCAGGGGGAGAGGAAAGATGCCATTTTGAAATATTCCAGAGCACTTTGTTCTTAACAAGGTCTGCTCTCTACTACTTAATCGGAACCTAACTGGCCTGAGGTAAGGGAAATATGCAGCCCCAGTCAGTTCTAGGCTTCTGAAAGTAAGAAAGGAAATACTCAACTTCAAACCACTGTAGTCATCCTGTCCCACCTAAGGGGAAGAAAGAACTAAAAAACACTTTTGAAGCTCACAGTCCAGAAGGATAAGCTCACCAAACAGCTGAGATCTAGTAATGGGACTATAGAACACTTCCATTCCCCCTAATCATCCATTACAGGAGTTTCCTCTTATCTGCAGTTTCACTTTTTTTTTGCAACTACCTTCTGAAAATATCAAATGAAAAATCCACAAATAAGAAACTCACGTTTTAAACTGCCACCATTCTGTGTAGTGTAATGACATGTCACACTATCCAACTCCATCCTACCTGTGACATAAATCGTCCCTTTGTCCAGTGTATCTACACTGTATATACACTACTTGCCTTTAGTCCCTACTAGTGTTATGGGATGGATTTGAGGGAAACAAAACTAGAAATAAATAGTAAAATGAGTTATGATACTAATTCAGTAATCCAGGTGTCAATGACACAGCTAGAGGGATTTACAGAGGTGACAGAAAGAATGGGAATAAAAGCTACAAAGGCAGGGAAATTGTACATGAGGACAATTTCATAAGCACAAGTGAAACCGTGGCAGGAGGATACTTCTTGTCCTGAGATACAAGTTGAGGTACTGTTGAGACAGTGTACCTGTCTGAGGATGTGTGTGTAAATTTGTGTGTGAATGAGAGTTAATTAAAGCAAGCTTGAAAAGTGAGTGCTCCTTACCTGAAAATTCATACTGTCGTGATTTGGAAATAAGCCCATGTACCCAGACTGTAATGAAGTTAGATGTGAGAGCTGAGGGAAGATGAGCAAGTTGGAATGGCTCAGGCAACTGGGAGATACGCAAAGACTGCTGATAACACATTTTACTGCAAAATTGCTTTGGGAGGCTCAGTGGTGTTTTTCTTTAAATTGTTTGGAATTCATCGATAATTTGAAAATATACACTTTTTAAACATTTTGTGTATGTTGTTTCCTTTAGATGATTCAAGAGATGTAAACTAGTCCCTGGATATGTGTCTTGCTTAATATGATAATAAAATCTCAATCATTTCATAATACAGGAAATTTTTTAAACTAATTATCCAACACTCTTAGTTCATTTTTATAGCCTTTTTGAAAAAAATTTTAGAACTGTATTACATTCAGAGAAAAATGGAGAGTAAGGGATAGAGATTCCCCAAATACCTCCTTCTCCAACACATGCATAGCCTTGCTTTATCAATATCCCTCACCAGATTAGCACAGTTGTTACAGCTGATGAGCCTACATTGATACTTCATCATCCAAAACCTATAGCTTACTTTAAGGCTCACTGTTAGTGTCATGTCTTTGATGGATTTGGAAAAATGTGTAATGACATGCATCTACCCATACAGTATTATACAGAAAATGTTCACTGCTCGGTAAGACTTCTGTGTTCTGCATGTTTATCTTTCCCCCCTCCCAACCTCTTCCTCTCACTGATTTTTTTCTCACGTAGTTTCTCTTTCTTCAGAATATCCTATAGTTGGAATTATATAATGTATAGCTTTTACATACTGGCTTGTTTCAACTAGTAATATATATTTAAGTTTCTTCCGTGTCTTTTTAAGGCTTTTAGAGTGCCATTGTCTGGATATGCCATAGTTTATCTGTCCATTTACCTCTTGAAGGATACCTTGATTGCTTCCAGGTTTGGAATTATGAGTGAAAGATTCAATATATAACTAACAAAATATTGTTAATGTATCAAAGTATAATAATGTGCCAAATATCAAGAAAGACTAAGTATCTCATGTAGCAACAAATCTTAGTAGATGATAGTACAAAATGATTTCACAAACAAATCACATAAAGCCTTACAGCTCTATGAATCTTGCTTCATTTACTTGGATTTTTCCAAATACCACAAAATAAATATAAGTGAAAGCATTTCTTCATTATGATATTGCCTCCCATAAGAAAGAACTATGACCAGAATCCAGGTTCAATGCCAGAAGCAAAAAACACAAAACAAGAAAAACAAAATGAAAGAAAACAAACCACAAATCAAAACACCCTTTACCAAATGTTAAATCAAATAAACACACCTTGCGCTGTGTCTTTGATGCTGCCAAGTCTGAAGCTTGGGGAGCTGCCAAGGGGTAAGATGTTTCCAAAACCAAGGTCTTTACTGAGGAAGCTGTGCTTGGGTTTCTGGCATATTCATTTCCAGATACCAAAAAGAATATTCCTGGTTGTTTTTTTTCTACTGGAATTCAAAATAGAGTATATGCAAATATTAAATGGATGATCTCCGGTTTCCTAATTGTCCACAAAATAGTTATAGTAAAAGCATTTCTAAAAGGTTCTTGATTTACTAGCTGTGTTACCAAATCAATCCAAAGAAGTTTTCAAACTTTGAATATACTTGGAAAAGCTCAGCGATAGAGCACTTACCTAGCATATGTAAGACCCTAGGCTTGATCCACAGTGCATATATATGTAAAATAATCTATATAATTATATATAATATTTTATACGATATTCTATATATTATATTGAATATATATTGGGAAATATATATATATATATTTGGGAAATGCTATATTTTATGCCCCATTATCATAAAGTTTAATTCCTTGAATCAGACTCTGAGAATTTGTGTAATAGAAAAGGCTACTACAATTTACTTCAGCCAACATGTTCCAAAAGATTATCTGAAAAGTAGCAGGAAGTGTCTCACTTGTGTTGTAGATGCAAGTATAAATGTAAAAAGACTAATTTGAAATTATTCTCGTTATTTCATTTCAGGACTTATAAAAACAACTGTATTTACTCAATCATAAACTTTCAAGTATATGGGCTGGGGATTTAGCTCAGTAGTTCCAGCACCTGCCTTGCAAACTCAAGGTCCTGAGTTTGATCCCTGGTACCAAAAAAAAAAGAAAAAAAAAAACTTTCAAGTATATAACTTTCTGAACACCCACTAAAAATCAACAAAGAACCATAATCAATTAATTAATAAATAAATGCATAATTTATTCATTTTTGTTCAATAAATATTTACTAAATACCTAATATGTGCCAAACACTGAACTTTTCTCTGGTTTTACAATGCAATTGAGCTCGCATGGATAACAGTATGAAATTTAAATAGTTCCAAACTGCTGTTTGATAATAACACCAACTCAAAATTTAACCCCAAATATTTGAAAATATAAAGTTTACTAATTATAATAAGATCATTAAAAATAGCTTGTTCGAGTCCTAATTCCCAGAACCTGTGAATAAGTTACCTTGTGGCTGAAAGCCTTTGCTGCATGATTAAATGAAGGACCTTGAAACTGAGAGATTTACCTGGATTATCTAGATATGTTTTAAACAGTGGATACCCTTTTCCAGCTATGGTCACAAGGAGATAGAATTACAGAAGAATGGAGAGAAGAAATGTTGCTGGCTTTGAAGGTGGAAAAAGAGGACCATAAACTAAAGAATATGTGTAGCCTCTAAAAACTGGGAAGGCGAAAAAACATTCTCTCCATAAGGGAATGCAGTCCTGGCAATACCTTGATTTACGCCCAGTGTGACCTATGTCAGATTGCTCTGAACTATAGAATTTTAAGAAAATAGAATTGTGTTGTTTCAAGCCACTAAATTTATGGTAATAATAAAGAAAGAATAAAAAACAAAATCTGCTCTCATATTTCTAGTTTGTCATCTTTTTGTTATCCCTTGCCCTATTCCTATTGTCAGTTTATCACTATGTCACTTCATTCACCTAAAAGGAATTCTCTTGTCCATAGAGGTCATGTATTCTTGACAGTTTAGCAGTTAAAGGATTCACTGACATGTTCTTTAACTGAAAATTCTGTTCAGATTTTTAGAGGTATGCCTGTGAGTCTTCTGCTGATTTCTATTGCCATAATTTTTTGGGATGTTTCATTCCACTCAATTTATTTTTAAATGCTAAATTTATCCATTTGGCATTTAAAGCAACCATATAGATCATTTCAACACTGTCCAAATTTTTCCAAATATGTTTAGAGGAGACAGGTGTTGAAGAAAGGAGAACAAAGAATGCACCCCCTAAGCCATCGGTGGTGAATGTTTTAGAGACAAATACCCAAGCTGCAACCCAAAACCCACTAATTTATAGCAAAGTCCCAACACAGCAATTAAGCCTGAGTACTGAGGTTTTAGTTTAGAAAAAAACAATTCATACATTAACATCTTTTGTCTCAGAAAAACAATACGCAGGGCAAAGGTTTGCCACATTGCACTAGGAACACAAACAAGACAGAATCAGAAATTTATTACAAATACGCATCCTGTTAGGCTTTGTATCTAGATGTCAGCCCAAAACCTCATGCACTCATAGGCAGGCAGTTTCAAATGTGGTTGGACTAGGGTATGTGAATGTGGATTAAGGGTGTGATACTGGGATTAAGGGTGTGGACAGTAGAAGTCCCACCCTGGGTATAGGTGGCACCAATTAATAGGTTTGTAGCCTGGATGGAATATTAAGGGACAGAAAGAAAGCAGGCTTGCTTCTGACTTTCTTCTGCTTGCCACACCATAAATTGTTTCTCTTGTGTGACACCCCTCTGCCATGCCACCCTGTCTTGCAGCCAGCTGACTATGAATTGAAACTTCTACAAACTGTGAGCCAAATAAACCTTTCCTCCTTTAACTTGTGGCTGTTGGTATTTCTCAGAAATGAGAAAAGTAACTAAGATATATCCTAAGAAATGAAATGCCCCTGCCCAGAGAGATTCAGTGCTATGATTAATCACTGTAAGAAGAAATGTATTATGATGTTCAATCATAATGTTCAAAAAATGGTACAGAACCACAAATCTTCAACACATTCTACACAGATAAGGAACTTGATGACTGGAAATGTTATAAAACCCATTAAAGTACACTACTGGAGCCAAGTCTAAAGCTTTCCATCCAGTGCACCTTCCAGCTGCGGTAATTACAAAATACAACCCAAAATTAGGACCTTGCCTTGGGTACCTATACAATTTCTAATTCAAAACATTACAATATCTGAATATTTTTAATATCCAAAGTATGTAAAACACATGTTCCTTTAATTAGATGATCTTTCCATCTGTTAAAATTTTAGGTTTTTCAATCTAATTGGTATACTATTTTTAGATATAATTTTTAATTATATCACCACATAATACTATTATACAAAAACTAATTTACTTCATTCTTGCTGCCATCTTCCATAGTCAGTGGCTTAAAAGCCATGCAATTGAAAAGCGTTCATCATTTGCAGGATTGTTTTATGTTCTGATTTAACAAAATAGTTTGCTAGACATCTGAGTGCAAAATATTTATCTTTTTATTGTTTTTTTAATATTTCAAAATTATGAAGGAAGAAATCATTTCTTTTTCACAGATATATACTTACCTCACTTAAAAATACAAAAAAGACTATATTTTAAGCAGTATTTTTAAAGACCTTCACAGAGCCAAACCTATTGAAATAAGAAATGCAGACACACATGAATGACGTCTGGAGAAAATATAGCCTAGCTTCATGTTTCTACATATAGGAATTTCCACTGGACCAGTGCTTCTTGTTGGAGATGCCTTGTGCTACCGAAGTAAGAAAGGAAAATACTTCAGTTATGTGGTAGATTCTACATTACCCAATATTTAGCCTTCTTGACATTCAGTGTGCCCAAAGCCAGGAGTATCTACATTAAAGGCATTGTAATAACTTAAAATACTCCCACACATTTCAGATCTCCCAGGGGTATCACCCAAAAGGGAAAATCAGAACACCAGTTAACAGTTCCAGCCTAAGATCTCACTCCTTGTTCATACCTTCCTAACAGGAGTTACCTGATTTGTGGCTTATTAAATGCACAGGTCCACATTACTCCAATGATAGAGGTGCTCTGGACTATACACGGCAGTACTTCTGGGTAAATGTATCTGTTCTGCAAACTGAAATTTTTTCTTAGTTGGATTAAAGTCCAGATTGTAGGAAAGAAAGGAGTGAGGGAGTAAAAGGGGGTAGGAAGCAATAGCACTCATTTTTTGGTCTCCTATCTAAAGCTTATTAGTAACAATCCCCAGTCAGCTTGTTAGTAACAAATCTAATGTCATAAACTCAAAGCATCTGTTTACAACTTAAGGCAGAAAGAACAAAGCTAATACTGGGCACTTAAAATCTCTAAGTCCATTGTAATGTTCTTTCTAGTCCATTTTTCTTTATTCCAGTTTGGTCTATGAGAAATGAAGAGAAACAAAGCAGTAAGAAATGGAAGAGTAAAATACTACAGTTCAAATTAAGTTGTAAGTACTAAGGCAAAAACAGGGCTTCTATGTATTCGTGTGTTTATTATAAATGTAATAAATGGCTCTTTCAAATCTTCTTTATTCAATAATAACATATTATATCTACAACTGATTCTAACTTGGTAACTTGAGCAAAGTAAGTAACGACCTCTATTTGAATAAAGAAATCAGGAAAAGAGTCACAGTGACGCCAACCACAATTCTTTTTTAGTCACCAAAAATTACAATATAAGATTTTTCACTTAAATTGAAAGACAGTCATAGGAATTGGGTAATGGTACTGCTTTCCTTTGTTCAAAATAGGCTTTAATAAAAGAGAAAATTATATATTTCATGTTTATCTCAAAAATATTATGTAATATTTTCCTAAAATATTAAGTTCTCCTTTCACTTGCTTAGAGATCAGAGTTGCTTCAAGGACATTTGGAATGAAAGACAGTTTACATAGTTTTGTGACACAGCAATAAGTTACTATGCTTTGGTAGTTCCTGTTTCTTCGCTGCTAAAAACTAGATGTGGTAATGATGATTCTGAACTGTAAGCTATAGTATGAAAGCTTATGGAAGGAGAAAAACATAACTCCAAGTGAAGATATATACTAAATCCCTTGGGCATGAAGCATGAGGGAAATAGTAATTTTTGTATCCCTCAAGAAATTGAAGAAAAGCAGGTATTCTTTTTTTTCTTTTTTTTTTTTTTTTTTTTTTGTGGTACCAGGGATCGAACTCGGGTCCTTGAACTTGTGAGGCAGGCAGTGGAACCACTGAGCTAAATGCCTGGCCCGAAAAGCAGGTATTCTTAATCCACCATTCCACTTAAGACTTCAAATTGTGCCTTTTTCTAAGAAGATAGTCAGTGGCTTCTTTTTATTTCTCAAAGTAGCATATGACACCAAAAACGTCATTGAATTAGAAGCTGTTTCTCAATCCTTTCTGTCTACATATGTACTTGAAAACAACAACAACAATGTCCAGTGATGTTAAAGAGAAAAAAAGTGCCCCACAAAACATTTCAGGTATTACCCAGTCAGAACCAACACTGAATCGGCTATGGATGTATGAATGAGTTTATTCCTCATTTCTAAATTCAAAAAGAAAAAAATGAAGAAAACTTGAAAATAAACTAAACAGTGTCTTCACAAGTTCAGATCATATAGACAGAAAGATTAAAAGTATAATCAACAACGCTCTGTACCTGTGTACTATTTTAATTGTACTTTGAAATCAATTATTCCTCCTTTTTAGGAAGGAAGGGCTCATACTAGGATCGCCACTTTACAGAGAGAAAGAGTATTGAGGGTTACTGCCCAAGGACAACTAACCTGTCAGTTTCCTAACTTGTAGGCCAATGCTGTCCTAGGGTTAAGCGGCACAAGTTTCCTTCCTGAGAATTTACACTGTAAACCTGGCACAGGGAAGTAAAAGCAGCTTTTTAGCATTTGTTTTCTCTCTGGAATGTTTGCTCTGGTGAATTTGGGGCCAAAAGATATGAGCTAAGGGAGCTTTTTGAAATATTTATCTGTGTTACCATGTCTTCGCTAATCATTAAAGATGGGCTCAATGCGGGGGGAGGGGGGGAATGTTACAGGTTTAGTAAGCAGGGACTAAAAGGAAAATAAAACATATTGGTGTCTCTCCGGTAATGAATCGCCTCCACTTCCTGAGGAAGTTCATTGAGCTCAAACAGGAACAGGCTACAAAGAGAAAAAGAACTCCAAATGGAAAAGACCAGATACCACAGCATTCTCTTCCTAGTCATGCACGTGGACACAAATATCTCGTGGGTTCAGGGATTCACCAAGCACTAAGGAAAAAGGAACCACGTTCCACCGCCACCATCAATAAATTCACTCTTCTCTGCAAATATTTTGGTCTGCAAATACTTGATTATTAATAAAGAGAAAACAGAAAAACTAGTGAAAAAGAGTAACACAGGAAGGAAAGGCCAGAGGGTGAAATGCAGACCTGGGAGGGGACCCAGAATGGAATAAAGGGCCGAGATTAACTGACAACACAAGGGAGCCAATCCCTCGCCCAGAGGAAGGCTTGGGGGAGTGGGCGGGGCTAAGGTTTTCAGCGCCCAGAGGGCCGCGCCAGACACGCTGGCAGGGCGGGAGCCGTGGTTCCTTAGCAACGCGGAGGCCGCGCCCACTCTGCAGCCCACCCGGGCCCGCCCGCCTCCCCCACGGCGAGCGCCCCGCGCCCTAGGAAGGAACCCTTCGGTGGTCACCGCACCTTCTGGGTTTCCGGAGCTCCGGTTCCCCCAGCAGAGCCTCCCCGCACTCACACCGCCCAGGAGCCCCTCCCCGGGGCAGAACTGTGCTCTCCTAAACGCTTTGGGGGCTCGCTTAAGGAGGTGCGCGCGTTTTCAGTTCGGCACCCCAAGATACCCGCGCAGGTCACCCTAGTCCCCTCGTCCTCGCCAGACACACGCACACACCTCAGCTCAACCAAGGCAAAGGCCGACAAACTTCGTGTCCGGCTGGAAATGTTGCTGTCCACGGTCCTGTCACTCAGAGGCAGGGGCGGGACGAGGCCGCTACACACCCTATTCCCCAAGGGCGCTACGAGAGGGGCGTGGTAAGGCCGGCGTGGCGTGGCATCTCCTCCGTTTACTCTCTGATTGGCTGGTTTCTCTCCCGCCTCTGAGCTAGTCCAGAATGCAAAAGGGCGCGCCCCACGACCTTTGCTTCCTTTTGACGTAAGTCCTAAACTCGAATACTGTCCAGCAAGGTGACTGTAAAAATTAAAAGACCTGTATCTTATTTTACAAATTTAAAACGCAAGAAATGTTATTTTGACTATTGATTCCTACACACCTAACATACATAGGCACATACTGTCTAAAATCCACATTCTCGCGTATCCCAAATTCAGTCTCAACTGAAAACAAGGTGTGTGATTGCCAATTCAAGCAGCAAAAAAGCAAAAGTTTTATATTTAAAGAATTAATTTTAACAGAAGGTAAATCAATTTACAGAAGGCAATTGATGAAATGTGACAAAGAAAGTTTGGGGGCCCATTTCAGGTACTGCGTTTTCACATCTACAAAATAGTAATGAAATATTAAGATATTATTATTTGGAATGCATTTGATAATTGAATGCTCTGTACATAGTGCTTAATATAATCTTTAGCAAACCAGCCAAGGGGTTAAGATATTATTTTCAGCCTATGAAGAATGAAACAAGCTAGGAAAGGATACTTTATTTAATTATTCAACAAACATGTGTCTGCAGTTATTTTTATGCTGTGGTAAGCTGAATTGAAAATTCCTTCAAAAATCTGTGAAACTTTCAGTTTAATGTTTTTCTTCAAGTATTAAGTCACCTTTCTTTGGCTAGGCTATCATCTTCAAAATGCTCATAAGAAAGAAAGTTGCATACAAAAAAGATAGGAAGGAAGGAAGAGAGGAAGGAAGGAGGAAAAGAAAAGAAAAAACTGAAACAACTATAGATAGACTCACCAGAATGTTTTGAAATCTCCCAGGATATTGTGGCCAGAAATTAAATCCAAAAAGTAATTTTATTTTCTGCCCTCCAAAATCATTTTCTGGACTCCAATTCCTCTTCCAAAAAATAAAAGTACAGTTAAATGAGATTATATAAATTCTCTTGGCCAGATTTTTAATGGATTTAGCTTTAAAATGGGGAAACTCATTTTTTCTACATTTTCTACCAAATCATCTTGTCAGAAATAGTAATAGTAGGAAAATAACTAAATAATATTCCTGGACACATGCTTTGAGATTCCACTAAAACGCTCATATCATGTTGTGATAAAATTGTTGGAATAAAAGAAACACTTGCCAATTGCAGCTGATTTCATTTTCTTGCCCTGCCGAATTTCCGAATTCTTCTGAAAACTTGCTAACTCTGAATAACTTTATATGAGAATTCCTTGATTTGTATGATTCATAGCCCCCAGTAAGTTTCTTGAATCTTGAAAATATTTGGTTTTAGTATAAAGAGAAAGTTATGATTGTGTATTAATAAGTATAATATATAAATAACTACTGTTACATTGAAATAAATGTGGCAAATTCATTTGAATACTTTTTCAAATGCATATTCAAGTAAGTATAGCAAATGCATTTGTTTGAATAGTCTTACATATATAAAATACGCATTTAAGAAAATCATATTATATGCATGTAAATGTGTAAGCCTTGAAATAAACACAGCTGTATATTCCAGATATGTATAACTCCAGATGTTTGAAGCATACATTCAAATTTCTGAGATTCTACACCTTGATATTTAGTTATATGTACGGAAGAGTATACTGTACTACAAATGCACAGGAACGAATTTTAAAATTATATGTACTATGAGGAGATAAGATGAAAACATCAAATAATGAGTTTCTATCATTGAATTTGTTACTGTAAGATATCCTTATGAGATGCACTTGTTCTACAGTTATTCTACAAACATCTTACCGATCTATAAAATAGGCAGAAGCCAACTTACCCTTTATTAATATAACTATTGCCAAGTAGTTATGAAAGTGTGTTTCTCTTTTAAGCTTCCTTTCTAATTAACTTTCAGTATTCCCCACATTTGGAATAGGAGCGTTGCCTCTTACCCCTACCTCAGTTGTTTATTTTGCACCACATGATTCTGCTTAAAACTTTGGAATATGTATACTTTGAGATTCCTCCATAGGCCAAAATGAGTGTTAGAGAAACTTATGAAGAATGAATATAGCGAATAAATAAATACATTTTAGAGATACTGAACAAGGAATAAATGGCTTAGTGTAAAATTAAACTGAGCCAGGGCTGTAGCTCAGCAGCACTGTGCCTGCCTGGCAAGCGAAAGGTCCTGAGTTTGATTAAAAAACAAAACAAGTAAAATTAAAACATCCACATATATGTTATGAACATACTTATTTCTTTACAATATAGGACACATGTTATTTAGGTTTTATTTGTGGCAAGTTCAAATATAA